ACCCAGTGTAAATAGTTGTCACCAGGGGAGGGAACAGTATGGAAACAGCTGTGCATTTCATTCTATCACTGAAAAGGAAGTCAACTTATGAGATCTCTCTAGGTAAAACTTTTATAGAGAGTAAGAGATTTATTTGGGGTTTTGGTCCCATTAAGGCTGTGCTCCTGGTTACAGACAAGCCCGTGACCGAACCCTCCCAGAGATGAGTTGTTCTCTGTATCGCTCTGTTGTGGGCTGTTATCCCAACTCTATGTCTTTGCTGGGGGAGACCAGAGTGGCTCTGGCTCAGAACAGGAAGATGGGGCACCACACAGAGCAGACAGGCAGGCTCAGTGGCAAGACCAGCATGCTAATCTGTGATCCAACCCATCACATGCACACATACGTTTGTGTGTATTTTGTCTTGGATTTAAATATTCTGCAGAATTTGCAACAAACCCTGCAACATTGGACAGGGACATCAGGTCTCTCTCTGACTCATTACCCCATCCGTAAAATGAGGATACCAGTTACTCCTCTCTTACCCGTGTCTGGTTAGGCCCTGATTCTGCCAGCTGATCTGCACAATCCCGTTACCAAGACTCTCAAATTCAAAATTTTTCTAAAATTGTCTGTTCTTAGACATGAATCTTTCAGCCAGAGCTCAATTAAATCCCCTTAGTAACCATGAGAAGAGACAGGTGGTCTGCAAATCAAGCATGGATCTAGAGGAACAATCTGGCCCTATATATGTCATTTTTCTTTTAGTTTTGCATTAGCCTGAAGCATGACACATGAAGGAAACCAGATGCTCATTTCTCCTTCAAACTGTTTAAGTCATTTAAGCCTCCTTTGGAATGGAAGACTGAGGCAGGGAAGGGTGGGGAGAAGGCGAGTGATTTTAGATGCTTTTGGATGTGCAGAAGTAAGGGATTCTGATATATGTATTCACATTGAGCAGTATCATGATTAGTCTGATAGCAATCAGTAGCATTTAAAATACAACACAATGCAAGTAAGGGTGACAGATAAAGGGAAAAGTGACAATTCTAATAATACAAACATTCAAGGTACTTCGTAAGCTCCATGAGAAGTCTCATGTGCAAGCATCCCCTATAGAAAGGGCAGGAAAGATACAGCCCACCAGCTGGATCAGGCCTTCCAAAACTTTTGATCCAGCCCACGTCTGCTCCTGCAGCAGGGAGCAATGCAGATAAAAGCGGCTGATTGCTCCGTGTTGCTCTCTGTGCTGCGGGGAGAAAGGAGAGCCTTCAGCACACTGCCCCCCAGCAAAATCTCTCAGTTCCTAGTCACTGGAATCTGGCCAATGGGAGCTGAAAGATTTTGTTGGGGATGGGGGCAGTGCAGCATAATTTCTCAGCTCCCATTGGCCAATTTCTGACCAATAGAGCTGAGAGATTTTGCTGGAGGCAAGGTCAGTACGTGAAGCCTCTCCCTTCCTCCCGTTAGCGCAGAGAACCACATGCACAGCCAGCCAGTGATCTGGGGCTGCTGGCCTGCAGGGAAGCCTGCCTGAACGTGCTGCTGGCCAGGAGCTGTTTAAGAGCTAAGTGCCACCTCCCAGCCAGAGCCTGCCTCTAGTATCCCAGCCTGTCCCTCCACCAAAACTCCTTACCATACCCTGTACTCCTCTAAACCCCTCCCCCAGGCCAGAATCCTTCTACCCCCTCCTGGACCCTGCACCCCAACCCCCCGGTACCCTCCTCCCACCTGCCTGAGTTCACAACCCCCCCAGGCTCTCCACCCTCTCCAAAATCCTTTCTGCAGACCAGATTCTTCTCCTGCACCCATATCCCCTATCCCAGATCACAGCCCCTCCTTCACCCAAACTCCCTCCCAGACCCCACACCATCTCCTGCCCCCCACTGCCCTATTCCCGAGCTCCCTTCTGCACCCAACCTCCATCCTAGACCCCACAGCTCCTCCACAGAAAAGTGCAGCCCTTGACCACTTACCAAAATCTTAGTGTGTCCCCCTCCCATCAAAAATTATTGCCTACCCCTTCCCTGTAGAGATGTTCATGCCACTGTAATTCAGGGGGCAGTATACTTATATTAATATTTAAATTATCTGTTACTCAAGCTTTCCAATGGCAATTGAACAGACTGAATGTCACAGAAGAGACCTGCTGAAGGGGGCAGAAATTGGGCCACTAAACTGGAAAACCATGACTGGACACTAGTTGTCAGAGGATTAAGTAGCAACACCAACAGCAAACTCCATATTTGCTTTTGCATCCAGGTCTCGTGAAACGTAACATATGGTGCTGACACATGGTTACTCACCCGGAGAACAGGCCAGAAGCTACAGATTAGCAAGCCAGCTCTGCAACACAAAATGCATGCTTGGAGTTTCATGAAGAGGAAGGGGAACACACAGGGAAGAAAGCCTCAGAGATCAAGGAAGATCTAATGCAAAGGGCTGACAGACACAGGCAATGGTGAAAGTGAAATCACACTTACGACACAATGGACAGGCCAACAGGTGCAGCAAGAGCCATCAGCAGTCAAACACAAAACAAACAAACACAAACTGGAGGCTTGTGCACAATCAAAATAGTCTTGTTTGCATGAAGACAGAGTTGATCAGAGACCTCAGAGTGAGGCGTTCGCTCTGCAGGGGAGGATGAGTGTGATGATGATGAGGATGAAGAATGGTGACGTCTGGCTAATCCCTAGCAGCTTCCAACTTCCTCCCATATAGTCTCTGTATTAGCAGAACATCGCAGCTCTCTCAGGGCAGAGCTGCTGCCTCACCTGTAAGGTATCAGTAATGGGGAAGGGAGAAGACATGCCAAATTAAGTCAGTTTATTATCCAAAGAGCTTGAATTCAGGAGAACTAGACACAGAAGTCAGAGGTTGGGGTATAAATCAGCAGAGAATTCAGCCCCTGTTTTTATTCTTTGAATAAGCTACGAGACATTAAATTGTTGAATTTTTTTTTAAATTACATAATTCAAGTGGCTTAGCTTGGGAATAGCTGAACCATTGAGTTATGTCCAAGGATCCCACTAGCTCAGAGTACTGATCTCCTGCTAAGAGCCAGCTTCCTTGGTTACTCCCCAGATAACACTGCTGTAAGTGAACCTTCTCAGAGGGCATCGTGCTGTTACTTTTGTTTAGTTACTTCTTGTTTGCAAACAGTTTTCACTGCTCCAGTCAGCAGTGATGACTGGGGCCAGGACATAAGCTGGCTAAGTGACATGTGCAGAGGTGTGTCCTGCACAACCACTGATCGAGAATTACTGACTGCCAAGACTGTTAAGATACTTCCTGAATAGGTTTTCCACAGGAGCAGCTGGTGCTCTATTGCCATGAATCTCTTGTGGGCATGTGGTGGATGCAGGTTGGTTTTTTTAAACATTAAAATTTGAAGAGGAACTGAGAACATGCAGCCCACAATAATCAGGATCTTGCACTGCACTGGGGTATGCTGGACTCATCACTTCTCATTGCGACAGTGACATGGACACCCTCCAAGGAGAACGTGACCCTTTCTTCTCAATAGAGGTCCTAGCCACTGGTCTCATACAGATTCCACCAACTCCAGGGTGAACTGCTGCAGCTCACGCCACTTGGGGTGAATGTGAAAGCCCCACAGAAGCTACCCCTCGGAGAGCAGGCAGCAATGCACCTCCAAAGAACAAAGGCTGATGGTAGCGCAACCGACAGGTTTGCATTCTACTTCCAGTAGCTCCCCCGCCTTTCTAGACTGAGTTCAAATTCCTTAAAATTTACAAAACTTCCTGGGTGTGGATCTGGCTACCTGAATGACTGTTTGACCAACATCCGAGCCTCCTCTGGGGTGCAGCCCAGAGGAGCGATGGGGAAGGTCACGGAGCGATTCTGGAGCCCAAAGGGCAGAGTATTCTTGATAGCAGGTTCCCAGCTGGGGAACTCCTTACTAGAGGAAAACAGGCTGAACCAGACCCAATCCTATTCCTAGCAAACTGTAAGCCCCACGTTTTTGCTAACACATTTTCCCAGTAATGACACATGGGACTTCAGTGGCTGGGATGATAGGAAATAAGAGTAAGAAAATGAGAGAAGTAGGGAGAAAGAGATAAGGAGCCAAGGGAGAATGGGAAGCAGGGAAACCTAGCACTGTAGGGGGGCAGAGAGACCACTTCTCTTGGATACAAGGAATGCTACATAGAGTTGTTTGGTACAGAGATACCATGGTGATAAATACAACGGACAAATAGACAAAATTAGAGGTTTAGAAGAAATATGACTTAGGATGAGCCTGTTAAAAAGCAGATAGCTGCATATGCAATTGAATTAGCTGCAACATGAGTTCAGAGAAAGCTACTACAGACTGATAGCAAGCTGTTACCAATGATATGATCTGTTACCAATATTCTACCCTTCAGTGTAGATAAGTGATAGAAAATTTAAGATCAATTACATCAATAGCCAGGATTTATTGTGTGTCAAGCATCTGGAAGTGAATTAACAATACAAAACATTTTCTGTCCCCTAAAACTCAGGAGAAAGGTTGGGAGTAGGGAAAAAATGCAGAAGAATGGCTCTTGCACAAGAGGGGGTTTTAGCGCAAAAAGCGGATGCTCATTAATTATGCAAATGAGGCTCAGCAATATTCTGTGCTTAGCCTCATTTGCATATTTCTTGTGAAAAACGGGTGCAGCATAGACAGCCGAAGACTGTTCTTAGTCTGTACAGAACAGAGACAATGAAAAAAGCTGTAACTCCATAATTCGTTAGCTGTTGCAGATATTTAGTTCCTGTTAATGGAGAAAAATTGACATTTTATCAGTAGACCTAGATGCCTAAACCCCTTAGGAATAGGAGAATAACATTTTTCCTCTATCCTCGTCAAATCCAAATAGACTGCATTGGCTACAATAAGTTGTTTATTTATAAATAAATATTTCCTATTATTGATAATTACTCCTGTTTCCTTAACAGATTCTGTATATTTTTGTGTAGGCTGAGTGCAGAGAGGGGAAGGCGTCCTATTTCTTCAGAGGTGCTCTTACCTGTAATACTTTGCCTTGTGGGCTCTCTGCAAACAACAACACCTGGTTGTACAGAGGGTCTAATGACTTGCGAGCCACTTTTGTCTTCTTCTTTGCAATGCACACTCCGTTCTCTAGTAGATAAGCCTTGATGTAAGCAGCTGAAAGAAAAAATGTATGGTCACCACTAGAACTGTCATGGTTCGTGTTAGAAATGGCAGGAAAAAAAAACTTCTCAAATATTAGGAAAGGGAAGTTTTCAGGAAAGCATTTGCTCATCCAACTGTATTTTCAAGCAAGCCCATGGGGTGGTCACAGCTGGGCTAGGCAATCTCTGTCCGAGGGGCAACCAATAGTCTACCTGTCCTCAAGTGCTCCCAGAGGAAGGGATGCTGTGGGCTCTGAGTCACTTCGAACAAGGTGAACCACGCTACCTGGAAGGGTTTTGGAGCCAGGTTTGGGGGTGAGTCCTCGGGCCTGAATGATATCCACTTCTAGCTGTCCATTTCGCTCCTGTAAACCAATCTCCACATCCCCTAAATAACAAACCAGAAACAATTGAAGAGAATCAGATAGCAAAAAGGCTTCTATAGAACAATTCTGAGAGTTAATAAAGTGGTTTTAAAAAAATCCGCATGTCATGTGCTGGCAACAGCAGCAATAAAAATGCCGGCCCCAGGTGACAGCTTCCAGGCTGTTACTCTCCAGCACAGCACGGGGATGGGGGTTATTCCAGGGAGATTCAAGCCCACACTTCCAAAAGTGATCTTTTATGTTCCCCTTGCCCCAAGCTAGTGCCCTCTAGCCTCCAGTCTCCCCAGCTGGAAACAATGCAGTTGTGACGCACCACACGAAACTCCTTAGAGAGCTCGTGTGCCTCTGTGCATCAGAGAAATGTGACACCGCACAGGATGCATTTAGAGGATGCTCATTTTGGCTAGACCTTTCTTTTTGTACCTGCAGTGTGTCGGGGGACAGGTAACATTGCAACTAACACAGCAACAATTAGAACAGGGTGACACATCAAGAAAATCCAACGGCCAAGCACCTTTTGTCTACTGGAGAGCAGAGTCTAGGGCTTGCGTGGTGGCTAGACTAGTGGGTGGCTCGTGGGAGCTGTACATACAGTACTGCTTCTCTGTTCCTTACCCATGGAAGTGGTGGCCAAGGTCTGACGACCAACGAACTGTGCAGGGCCCATGCTCCCCAGAAAGTCGCTAAACTGCCCAGCAGATGCCAGATGGACGCCACTGAAATTCAAGCTGCAAAATAAATTGATTTTGGCAAATCATTATGTCAGCTCTTGAAAGCAACCTGCTGATTTAACATGATGTAATACCTGCCTGAAACAAACAGCTCTCTTACGCAGTCCTCTTCCTTCTAGAGCGCATTGATTTCCATGCAGCATAGCTGCATATGATGCCTAGAAACCCCTTTCCCCCATATAGTAGTGATAGAGCAGTGAACCCTGATTACAGTATTTCTTTAAGTATAAATTAATCACCTAGGATGACCAATTCAGCTCTCCTGTCCCACACGCAAGTGCTTCCCATCACCCCTTCCTTGCAGGACTAAAGCCTGAGCAGTATCCGGGATGGCCTGTAATATATTGCCTAGTACTTATTCCTCTTCCTTTTTTTTTTTAAACACACACAAGAAGGACACTAGTACTTCAGGGAGTTTTAAAGTGACTGAGCGCAGGTGAGGGATGCTAAACTGAGAAGCCGACTCACAGGGATGCCATCCAAGGCTGGAAGTACAGGTTGTACCTCCCTCCTCCGGGACTTTCTGGTCCAGCAAGACCACAGATGTGCCTGGACCACAGAACCCAGGTATAGGGAGGTCAGGCTGTGGATCAGGAGCAGCAAGGGGGTGTGGAGACTCAACCGGGAGCCAGGGGGCAGAGGGATGTGTGGAGTGCAGCAGGGAGTTCTGGCCCCTGTGGCCAGGCGATAGCGGGGACCTGGCCATGGAACTCTGGCCCCAGCTGCAGAGATTGGGGGCCAGTAGCTGCAGCTGCAGCCTCTGCCATGGAGCTCAGGACAGCAGCCATGGAGCTAGATAGGGAGCAGCAGAGCTAGACTGGAGCCCTAGTTGGAGGACAGCATGGGCCATGTTGAGAGGGACCTTCCCTGGTCCAGCAAATCCGCTCATTCAGGACTGGTCAGGTGCCAAAGGTGTTGGACGAAGGAGGTTCAACCTGTAGTACATTTTGCATTCTGTAGCAAATGCTTTTGCAGCCTGGCAGCATCCAATGTGTCCCAGGGTAGTTTTCATTCGGCAAAGGATCTGAAGTGATCATTAAGACTAATCCTGCCTCTCATGATGAGCTGGCCTTGCTTTCAGACCGTGCCCTCAAACCCTTGGGGCGGGAGGGCAAACAGCGCAGCAACAAAAACAACTGAGTTAGTAGGTATGCAGGCCTGTAATATGAATCCATGTGCAAGGCACCTGTGGCCTTATCTGCTTTGGGGTTTAAGCCACAGCTGTGGCTACATGGGTGCAAACCTACAGTGTAGGAGGGAGGGGGTACACACCAGCATAAGCTGCCTCAGTGCATCAGTTTACACTGGTGTTTTGCATTTACACTAGGGGCTTGTGCCAGCACAGCTACACATCTGCCTAACGCCCTTGTACACAAGGCTTGAGCTGTGTCCCACAGGTTCCTTGTCTGTTTATACAATTGATCTGCCCTGCTTCTGACCCCCCCCCCCTTCCCCATGGATGCTGCCACACATGAACGCTAAGTGTAAGTCAGAGTCCTCTGCAGTCACATCCCCACTGGGAGAAGACACACCTACTTAGTGACACTTCACAGCTTCTTAACATTGGGCCCTGAAACCAAATCTGTAATAAGGGGCAAATGTTCCTCAACAGTCTCAAATGAGTACAAGTCACCTTTGCAAAATGACACCTACCTTACACTACCACAGGGGCTAGGGAGAGGCTCTGGGGGATGCAAGAAGCAGCAGCATGAGACCCACATGCATACTATTTGCTCAGCAGCAACTACTCTCATTAGCCATCTATAAGTCCCGCATCAGCCCACTGCATATATTTATTTCCCCTTATGGGTAGCAAAGAAATCAGAAGGCAAAGAAATCACAGCCCAGCCTGAGCTCCAGAAGGAGCACTGCACATTAGTGCGGTTGATTTAGTTGGGACTGGTCCTGCCTAGAGCAGGGGGCTGGACTTGACGACCTTCTGAGGTCTTTTCCAGTTCTATGGTTCTATGATTAAGGGTCAGATACTCAAAAACAGTTCAGCAAGCTGGGTGCTGGAAAAAAAATCTGGCTAGAAATGTCACAGTGGGGACTGCAGGGGATTGAGCTCCTGAGACTCCTCACCCTGAACGCTTTCAAAATTCAGCCCAATGCAGAACGCCTTCAAATCTGCCTTCAGTGGTGCACAGGCTTGGGGGAGCCCCCTGCACCAGGTCAATTCTCCCCCGGCCCTGAGTCTCCTGGAATTGTTTCCTCCTGGTTGCGCAATAGTCCCTGGTGGTATTTCCAGACAAGCCTGGCACGGCATGTTGTATAATCAGCACTAACTGCAGACTGTGCTGATGCTTTTGCTCCATTTTGGATTCAGTTCTGAAGTCTGCATCACTGATTCATCAGCTGCAAGAGGCACCTCCCCAGTGAAATATGCTATCCTCTGGGAGAAGGGGCAACTACTCGCTGCTGTCTGCTTCCAGCAGCCAGCCCTGCTATACCCCTGCTCCTCATCCTGACTGCTTTGCTGGAGGCTGGGTCTGCCTGCTCTGAGGCAGTACTCGCCCAAGATAAAACAAAAAACAGGACTATGTAGCAATTTAAAGACTAACAAGATGGTTTATTAGGTGATGAGCTTTCGTGGGCCAGACCCACTTCCTCAGATCAAATAGTGGAAGAAAATTGTCACAACCATATATACCAAAGGATACAATTTAAAAAAAAAAATGAACACATATGAAAAGGACAAATCAAATTTCAGAACAGTGTGGGGGAGGGGGGCAAGGTAAATGTCTGTGAGCTAATGATATTAGAGGTGATAGTTGGGGAAGCTATCTTTGTAATGGGTAAGGTAATTAATGTGTTTGTTTAAACTCAGGTGTAAAGTGTTGAATTTAAGCATGAATGACAGGTCAGAGGATTCTCTTTCAAGTGAAGTCTTAAAAGGTCTTTGAAGCAGGATGCAGGTAATCAAGTCGTTGAGACAATGCTCTTTCTGGTTGAAATGGCAAGAAACTGTTTTTTCTTTGTGATCCTGTCTAATATCTGTTTTTTGGGCAATATCTCCCAAGATAGTGCTTCTGGGAGCAGAGGAACAGGACATATATACTGAACGTGAGCCATAGCCCTGCAGAAGGGACCCCCAGGTTCAGTCCTGCGTATACACAATGCTTACTACTAGGAGCAGGAGAGTGGCTGGTGGGGGTGGCAGAGCCAAAACTGCGCAAGCAGCATTGTGACCCGGTGCCTGGGGGGAGGGAGGAAGAGGGGAGGGTTATAAGATGGTTAAAAAAATTATACCGGACACACTTGATCTCAGATTGGAGGGGGAACACCGGCTGGGAGGTAAACGGGGCTGGCCGGGAGGAGACTGGGGGGAGCAAGGGCCAACTGGGAGAGGGTGGGGGGGGGAGCAGGACTGGCCCGGGCACATGCAGATCCTGGGGCACTGCCCGTCATGTGCACAGTCCCAGCAGGGCACACAGGCAAGTCCAGCCCCGGGGATCCCATCCTGCCCAGCCCAGCCCCCCCCCCCAAACCAGGCAGTACGCAACTACGCACTGCTTCTCATGATAATAATAAAACTTAATTAGAAAATACCGGACTCTCCAGTTCAAAACCGGACACCTGGCAACCCAGGGGTTGGGGGGAGAGGACTCCTAGCACTGCTCAGGTTATGATAGAAGGGTAGGGTTGCCAGATAGTTTCACAAAAAATACTCAACATGGAAGGGGAAAAAATTGGTTGAGGAAAAAAAAAAGGGGGGGGGGGGAGAAGAGGAGAGAGAGACCAGAATTGTTGAGCAAAAACCAAACAAACCCAAAAAACCACCAATCACTCCAAAAAAGTCACTGAGCCTTTAAATCCCCATGCTTCCTCCACCCCCACCAGACAAATCAGAGGAAAGATGTCTCAAGTGGCCTTCCGTCCGAGAAATACATTTTACATGTCCGGTATTTTCTGGGTGTTTTTAACCGGACAGAAGCCACAAATACTGGACTGTCCAGGCCAATACTGGACACCTGGCAATCCTATGAAAGGGCCACAGGGCCAAACTGGAGTAACTTAGAACCAAAACCAGTGTTCCCTGCAAGCTGTGTGCTCGTGCAGCTGCTAGGAGGCATTCAGATACCACTCAGCTGATTGCTAGAGTGCCCATAGTCAGGTTTTTTTTTTTTCCTTCTACTGGTGGGCACATCTGTATATCCCTTCGTGAATATAAATTTATTCCGCACATGGATGGAAAAGATTAGAGGGAACATTAGTCAGAATCCCTAGAGATACCACTGCTGAGGGTGCCTATGTGCAGAGATCTCGCCTCCTTGGGCAAGACACATAAATGGGGCGAGGGGGAGGAGAAGAGAAATCACTATCCCCATTTCTCTTGCTTTCACTATTGTTTCCACTCCTGAGAATTCCTCCAGGATCTCTAAGGAACTGTGTCCTGCATGCTGCCTTCTCTCCTGTCACTGGAATCCACACAGGGTCCCCAGTCACTACCTGCTTCCTCGGTGGTCTTCCCTGGCCACTGAACCAACCCACTCCACGTAATCCTGCAAGACTGATCCGGGTCCATGCAGCCCTAGCCTATGCCTACATAAACGGTGCTGTAGCAGGGTCTCTGCCATTCCCTCTTGCCTTGGCAAAAGACAGCTGCCATGGGAAACGTTATAGTCACATGGTGCGCCAGTGTGCTCACATTGCTGGTGGTAAGTCCCACTGAAGCCCATGTGGTTACTGGCAGTAGCAAGGTGCCATGCTAGGTGTTCACAGAGGCAGGCCACTTAGTGGGAACGTCATAAGAGCACTTCTATCCCCATGATCACTGGCAATAGTCCTGGGACAAAACAGTTCCTGCCTTAACCAAAGCCACAGCTTCTGCCTGGAGAGAGAGGAGAGGAAAACAAAAAGTGGTCTAGAAAGTTAGCAAGCCTAAGAAGAAAAATCTGCAGCAAGGACTGAGTTACAGCTAGGGTTGCCTGATGGTTTAATGAAAAAACACCTGTCCCCTTCCCCCCGGAAAAAAAAAAAACACACTGGGAAAAAAT